ACATCCTTTTATCTGTGTATTCATGGCGATTAATGCTTGGGGTGGTTATGCACAATCCCACTGTCAGTACTGTTTGCCTTCCAAAGGTTTGAAGATGGACACACAGCTTCAATTCCAACGGATGCATGTCCCAAAATGACCTGCTGAAATCCAGTAAATGTTTATACCAGAAATGCTTCTGGGTTTTTTTGTGGCCACTTGTGGTTACAGTGCAACAGCTCCAGGCAATAATAATTTGGTAACATTGTGGAAGCAACTCACAACAACTAATAAAAGCAGAATGATCTGAGGACAGCCCAGTATCAGCGCACGACTAGCACACTGTTATTATGCCAATAATATGTTGCAGAATGCGCCTGCAAAAAGGCACCAGTCCAGAGCAGCCCTTTGACTATTCATGTATTCAGAAGCATGCATGAGGGCTTAACCTAGAAGTGGTGGAATGGGCAGGTGTGTACAGACCAGCCTCACCTCCATCATCCATGCTCAGCCTGGGTGTGCCCATGCTATACCCAGCCTTCCTGCAATGTGTAGAAAGATCTGATGGGGGGTTGTAAGTGCATCTGAGGGAACAAACTTGCAAGCTTCCTCATGATTGGAGACCCTGAAGCACTCCCTATCCTCTCATGGAGATACAATTCTCAGAGTAGCAATCCATCCCTCTTCCTAGGTAACTCTGGGACAAGCATCCCCAAACTCAGCTCTCCAGAGGTTTTGGGACGACAGTTCCCATCATCCCTGACCACTGGTCCTGTTAGCTAGGGATGATGGGAGATGTAGTCCCAAAACATCTGGAGGGCCGAGTTTGGGGGTGCCTGCTCTGGGAATTGCAGGGGAATTGGGGTCTCGTAACAATGCTCAGCACCATTAACAAACTACAGTTCCTATGATGCTTTGTGGGAATCCATGGCGGCTAAAAGTGTTGGTAATGTATAGTGCAGATAGGACCCTAAAAATCTCTCATTTCCATGTGCATCCTTCTGACTGAGCCCCTAGGAAACACCATGGGGAGAATCCCATCATGCTGGTCACAAGGCACATTTAGAACTACAAAATAGGAAGGAGGGCAGAGGAGGAAGGATTCCCACCTCCAACCATCCCACAAGCAGAAGCAGCTTATCAGCTAGGGCAGAATTCCTGTGAAAGCCTTTGAACAAGTGGTTCACTGTTGCTTACTAGGACTGACAGGTGTGAGGTAGAGGTCAGAGCAGTGCAAACACACCAATATGGGTGCTGAATTAGTTTTGCTGGTGTGTGTGTGTTGTGCTGATCTCCCTATCATCTCGTCCCGTCCCCCGTCCCCCTTTTGGTAAGCAACAGTGACCCACTTGTGTGGAAGCTAATGTAGTGACATTGCCACACACATTGAACTGCTTCTATCCCCATAATATTTATGAAGTTCACTCTCTTGCAAAAGAAGCAGAAAATCCACTCTTCCTTTCATGGGAAACAAGGGTTTCCATGAAATTGGGAGAATAATTTCAGCATATATTCATCTAAGTCCAGGTCCTAAATTAATTACAGCCTACATAACTTGATATATAATTGCCAAATATTCAAATATGAGTAGGATCCTTGAACTGTTCAGAGGGAAGAAGGAAGATATTTATTTATTTTTTTAAAAAAGGAGAATATTTGCTAATATTTAGTGTCATTTGCCTTCAGGGCAAAGTATCTCCCCATACAGCAAACTGAAGAATTTTAAAAGTTTGATTATACTAATTGCAAGGAATCACCAGAGCAAAGCATACTATACAAAATAGTACCTTACCAAAATACAAAACGAACACTCAGGGTGTTTATTGCACAAGCACATAATTGTATCTTTAATCTGAAATGTTAAGATGGGTAGATGGAACAACACCCCCCTCCCTGCCTGCCACCATGACAAGGCCAGGCCCTCTCCTACCAAAATCAAACAAGAATGTAGTAATTAGTTGCAAACGAAAGACAATCTTAACAGTAGTGATATGCATCTGTTGCTGAAGGCTTTATTAAACTGGATACGTTGTCAGCAGTGCAATCAAGCACATTGCATTAATTTGATATCCCAGCTTGTTCAGTCTCGTTGCATCCTTATTAGCGAGTATAAACATTGCTTACAGGCTATAAGAAAAGAACTTTATTTTTATTTAGATAATTACAGATTAATTATGGGGGGAGCACTAACCATCTTTTGTACTTGAAAGCAACATCTTGGATACATTTGATAAAATCAGTTCATAAATATTAACATAGTGGACATGCCTCATTAATGTATAAATGCTATGCTTTATTAGCTTGTGTGTGTGTGTGTGTGTAAGTGTAAGGGACATGTGTATTCTAATGTAAATATTCCCAGATTTTCAGCCAAGCCCCCCTTATGAAAGGAACACAGGAAGCTGTCTTATGCCACATCAGTACCTATTGTAATGTCCCCTTTGGTTGGCCTTGGCTCTCCACAAGAGACAGATAAATCTGCCAAATTTTGTTTCACTTTGTTTCTCAGTTGTCTACTCATAAGTTCAGTTCTCCACATTTCTAAATCACTTTGCAGCATTATTATTATTATTAGTTGTTGTTGTTTAGTCATTTAGTCGTGCCCAACTCTTCATGACCCCATGGACCAGAGCACGCCAGGCCCTCCTGTCTTCCACTGCCTCCCGCAGTTTGGTCAAACTCATGCTGGTAGCTTTGCGAACACTATCCAACCATCTTGTCCTCTGTTGTCCCCTTCTCCTTGTGCCCTCCATCTTTCCCAACATCAGGGTCTTTTCCAGGGAATCTTCTCTTCTCATGAGGTGGCCAAAGTATTGGAGCCTCAGCTTCAGGATCTGTCCTTCCAGTGAGCACTCAGGGCTGATTTCCTTCAGAATGGATATGTTTGATCTTCTTGCAGTCCATGGGACTCTCAAGAGTCTCCTCCAGCACCATAATTCAAAAGCATCAATTCTTCGGCGGTCAGCCTTCTTTATGGTCCGGCTCTCACTTCCATACATCGCTACTGCGAAAACCATGGCTTTAACTATACGGACCTTTGTCACCAAGTGATGTCTCTGCTTTTTAAGATGCTGTCTAGGTTTGTCATTGCTTTTCTCCCAAGAAACTGTTAATAATAATAATAATAATAATAATAATAATAATTTTTATTATTAGTTTGTATGAAAATTCCTCAGCATTTGACTGCAAAGGTATCCTAATATAAACATTAAATTAAGCCGGCATAAATGATGCCTGATCCAGAGCTAGGAGACTCAGGGAGGCAGAAATGCTGGTTAAGCCAACTTGCCGAAAGGGGGGAAAGCCACCAAAACAAAGAGAGGCAACTCAGCTAGCATCAGCATAGGTGCTGTTAAGATACAGGGGAGAGCTCCCAGACACCCTTAACAGGTGTGCATGAATTGTGAGGTTTCCTTTAATATATTCATTTTTATATCATTTTAATTCTGTTGTAGTTTAATTACTTTTTTCTGTATTTATCAATGTTGTTTTAATTTTTGTAAGCCACATTGAGTCCCAGTCCGGGGAAAAGGTGGGATATAAACAAACAAACAACAGCAACAACAACAATAACAATATAGGTCATGGTTAGGAAACGATGGTTTCACTTACTGAAATTTTCATACAGAAACCTGGCTTGAATGTCCTTCATACTTTTCCCCATCCCATTTCATCCAGTTGTTCAGATTCCCTACCCACCAAATAAAAATAAAAATCTAACTGTAATTAGGGAAACTGCTAATATGAACTGCTACAGTACCAAGCATATTTAACTGAGAATTAATAAAGCAGTTGAAGGGAAATTAAATCCCAATTGATTGTTGGAAGAGCACCTATTGAGGTATAAGTATATAATAGATAAATCTGCTTGCAGTGTAATTAATTCAAATCTGCAGAACCAAATGAGTGTGCAACTCTGTTCCTATTATTTCACTGCACTTGTGAGGAATGTTTAGCAATTTAATTACCATTTAGCCACACAACTAAAGGAAATTAGATATTAAGCATACTATCTAATTAACTTGGTATAGATTGCTTGCTAAACAAATATTACACATATCTAAACAATTTGTGCCAATTACAGGTCTCGACGTTCTTAAGGTTTGCATTAATACTAAAATTAATTATGCATGTCAGTAATAATACAGAGTATATGCAAGTAACTATTTCCCACCCCTCAGACCAGCAGGAAAAAGTGTTTCCTTCTTCCCTTCCAGTTGTGGCCCTTGTAAAAGCAACAGAACTTCCAGTTATGGTTGTTAAATTAGATCCATTCACCAAAATCATTATTATATTGGAAAGCATTGGTCCATAATGATTTCCCTTAAAGTGCCAGGGGCACTTTGGAAGGCAATACTGGGTTCCATTAGTGTTGCCAATAGCCTGGTGTAGTGTGTGTTGTTGACCTTGCACACTTTTCAAAGGCATCCCATGCAATTCAGTTGCCATCTAGAAGCAAAAGCTCTGTGAGATCACACTTTCTTTTCTATCACTTCAAAACTTCTTCACATTGATAGGAAACAAGGCAAAGCCATGCGGTTGAGAGGCTTCTCTATAGGTTCTCTTTTTGCTTGAATTATAGTAAGAAGGAAAGTGTGGGATTGAGCTGATAGATGCTTTGGAATAGTGTTGGTAAGTGATGGCAGTGCTAAAAACACACCAAGGGTATATTTGCTGTTTGAGTTTCAAAGCAATTAAACAGGTGCAATATCAAGGGTCACTCAGAGTGAATAACTAATTAACAGCTTTGAACTAATTAACAGAGAACCCTAGTTGGAAACTAGGAATAGCAGCATTTTCATTCTGTTAGAAGCATAGCCTTACCTGCTCTGCTGTCTACCTACGCAGGTAAGACGATGTTTTCTATCAACTGAGATTTGTAGCAGTCTCACTGCTACAGCTTGGTTCATCCTTATTTGTTTGTGACTCAGTGCAGTTTGTAATAGGAGAAGGGCCATAGTTCACTGGTAGGGCATATGCTTTACATGCAAAATGTTTTTTTTTTAATGTGGGGGTTTTTTGGGGGGTGTTTATTTTGATTATATATTTTGTGGTTTTATATTTTTATTTTGTTCTGTGAACTACCCTGACACCTCCATGTATAGGGTGGTATATAAATTCAATAAAATAAGTAAGATCCCAGGTTAATCCGCAGCATCTCCTGGTAGGACTTGGAATGTCCCATGTCTGAAGTCCTGGGCAGCTACTGCCTGACTCTATGGACAATACTGAGTTAGACAGACCAATCTTCCTATGTTCCTAGGTCAAGCCCTTTACTTTCTGGGCTTATTCTGTTTTATTCAGCCACTTCTGCTTACAAGTAGTGCCCATGGTGCCAACACACACACTGGTTACACCACATTCCTCCATGCAAGCAGAGACCTGATAGACTACTGCACGACTCCAATGGTAGCTGGTACCCATTGAGACCAGTAGGGTGGAAGACAGGGAGATAAACAGTTGTTGAACCATAACAATAACAGGTAGAGCCGCCCCCTGATTAGCTGTAGGTAAGAAAGCAGGCAGGTGGGGGCTAGTTGAAGGAAGACTAAGCTTGGTCTTTCACCCCAATAGATCATGAATTCATGAATTCTACACCAACTATAAGAGTCACATCTCAGTCTAATTTATTATAATGAAATTACATGAGAGGCCTGATCTGGCTCACTTCTAGAAAGTGTGCACAAAATTGCAGCCACACAGTGCAACCCCCAGGATTCCAGCATGAGCTTCCACTTAGAGCAAAGTTTTCTCACTGGATGCTCTGATAATCTCTATTTCTCTCCAGAGCAGAGGCTCATTTAGCATCAACCTGCTGTCTTCCCAATGCATATATAAAACCTTTAAATACAGTAAGCCCACAACTTACGTGCAGGTTCATGCCTAAAGGCAAGATCATGTATAATCAAAACACATTGGGTTCAATAGTAGGTGGGATTGCCAAAGTCATTCCACCCCCCTTTCATTTTTTTAAAAAAACATTTGTCACATACATAAAGCTGAATGCACACAAATTCTGGGCTTACTGTATATATTTCAGACACCTGTTACAATTAATTGAGAACTATTGAGGCTATTTGCTGTCTCCCGTGCTTTATGCTGTTTGCTGCATTTATTTTTTGTTAAGGTAATGCTGCTGTTTCATTGCATGATTTTAGTGTGGCAGTTCTGTATTGTTTTATTGTCAGTTTCATGTATGTTGTAAAGTTTCCAAACTGTTCTGAATTTTTAAATGAACATATAGAAATTCTATTTTAAAGGAATGGTCCTAAGCATATTAACTAAAACAAGTATATCCCACAAAGTTCATCAACACTCCTGAGTTAAACTGTTACTAGGATTGCAATCTTAATACAGTGGTACCTCGGGTTACAGACGCTTCAGGTTACATACGCTTCAGGTTACAGACTCCGCTAACACAGAAATAGTACCTCGGGTTAAGAACTTTGCTTCAGGATGAGAACAGAAATCGCATGGCGGCGGCACAGCAGCGGCACAGCGGCAGCGGGAGGCCCTATTAGCTAAAGTGGTGCTTCAGGTTAAGAACAGTTTCAGGTTAAGAACGGACCTCCGGAACGAATTAAGTACGTAACCAGAGGTACCACTGTAGTCAGCCCTTCACATTTTTACTCAAATGTTAAGTCCAACTGACCTCCATATCACTTTCACCTGGGTTAGTATAAACAGAATTATATCCATTGGCTCTAGCATTGGTCCTGCCATTAGCAAGAGTGATGGTATTACTATAGGCAGCAGTTTGTGAGGGTAAAAATTGACCAATCTTTCAAATTTGGTTTCCCCCGGTTTCTCATTTTCCCAATCTTAAATTCAGTTCTCCACATTTCTACATCCGTTTGCTCCTGAAAATTCAGTAGCCTGTTAGTGCAAAGCGCTACCTTTGCATGCATTCTTTTTCTAATTAAAAAACTTTTGCAATCAGATTTTCCTTAATATGATACATTTCTGTATTTTTTCATCCATCTCTACATGTTTATGCACACATTACCCTAATATATGCAATTTTGTACACATTAGATTGCTACAGAACTGCACTGAAAAATTTGGAGAAGCAAATTTCAATGGTTGCCTGTGTTTCAGCTTGCATATTGTAATTAGGTAGATTCACATTTAAATGCAAATTGAATCAAATTTCTTCTCTATCCCTAGTTCAGAGTCTGTGGTGGCAATCTCTTGGCACTGAGAGAAGCCCCCTACCACTGTGAGTATACTGGGGGACAGGACTATGTATTCCACATAGCCTGTGTTGCATCCTCTAAGCTAGCCTGATTCACTGAGGTGCAATGGATGATGCTATTCTGTGAGCAAGTTGAAATAAGATTCAACTACCAGTCCAGTAGTTTTCTGTACTTGGAAGCATCACCATAACATTTACCTCAGGCCAGCCCTCTTTGTCTGCATTCCTAAACATACATACTAGGCAGTATGGGTGAAAAGATCTGTCAAGTTTGGCAAAAATGAGAAACTGAGAAAAGGAGCCTTAAATCCAGTTAGCCAAATTTCTTCATTAATTTGCAATTTATTCATTTTTAAAAGCCACATGAAAATTTATCAGCATATTAACATGAATTCCGCTCAAAAAACATATTTTTGTATGCAGCTACAGTGCATTTTTGTATGTTCTTTTCACTGACACGTTCATTTTTATGCTCACTTTCCCACAATCCATTTTTGTAAACATGGTTTGGAGAAAAATACAAAATTTGGATAACTGGAAATTCCAAAGGTTACTTGTGTTTTGGTGTTTTGGTTTTGGAAATTTGGTATGTTCACCTTTAAATGGGAACTGACTCAGATTTCTCCCACATCTGTACTCATGCAAATAGCAAATCCCTGAAGAATATTATCTGTGCAGCCTTAATCTTAAATGGACTACAAATGTTATTGCTCCAGCTCTTGCTTTGACATTTCCTCTGACAACTCTTCCCTCTTCCCCTCACTTCATTAAAATCCCTAAATCCACCTGTTTTGTTTAGCAATCTCCAAGAAACCTCTGTCACCCTTCTCTCTTTCCCACTAGACTTATACCCCTGTATTTTATTTTAAGCTTCCATGCCTTAAAAAAAAAGGAGGGGGGAAGAGTCCTCTTGAGATTGGTATTCCATCTTCCCCATCTGGTGTGTTTTGCTCTTAAAGCTAGCACATTATCCCTCTGTTCAGAGGAATTGGGACTCCCTTGTAGAAATCCAAAGCAGTCTTTGGAGACAAAGAATCACAGAGAACAGATGAGCCCTTGCCCAACTGAACAGGGAAAAGAGGATGGAAATCCTCTCAGGAACATAATATTACCACTGAATTATATAATTTAAATGCTCTTATTAAGTGGTGACATGTCAAGCTGTCTGTGATGTGACATTTGCTGGTCATTTTTGCATGACTAATATTCCTCCTGAATACATCCAGACATATGGCAGAAATGCATCAAAACCTAACATTCAGTAGCCACACTGTAATAAGTCTCAAACCTCAGCAGGTCATGTGGGAAAAGAGATGTTCACCAAGTGAAACTCAAATAATGTTTCCAGAGGGAAATGGTTAGTTGAAGTCATCTAGATGAGTATTACCTCAGAGACTCCAGTCCGCCTCCATTTTTCCATGCAATGTAAGTTTACTAGAGGTGCAATCTTATGCCCACACTTACCTGGAAGACAAACCTATGGAACCTGGTGGAACCTCAGTCTGAGTAGGTGTGCATAGGATTCTGCCAGACAATTTTCCTTGGTACAATCTCCGTAGCTCATAGGAAGACTGCAATTAAAAATGGAATAAAGAAAATGTTTGTTTGTTTGTTTGTTTGATTATATCCCACATTTCATCTAAGAAGCTCAGTGTGGCATACATAGGTCTCCTCCTTTCATCTTCACAACAACCCTGTCACCAGCTCTTAGCCTAACCTACCTCATACGGTTGTTTTGAGGATAAAATGGGGAATGGAGAGAACTGTGCATGCCATCTTGACTTCTTTGGAGGAAAGAAGGGATTTAAATAAAATAAACAATAATATCTAAGTATTCATTTTATCAAACTCATTCTGTGAAGAACAGTTTGAATTCTACATTTTCTTTTCAAGAAACACACACACACCAGAGTAATTTCTGGATAAGAGTCCTTGTTTGCTGTCTTCCGCGAAGACTAATAAGAACACAAAATTGCCAGTGGTCTCTCTCTTTACACTTTGCTACTTGAAAAACACTTGGAAAGCTTCAATATATATATTTTTTGAAAAATATACTACGGTGCATCTGTAGCAAGACAATACCCTTGAGCCTAGTGGGCTGTAGTAATTAGACCATGTCACAAGGAACAGTTTAACTTTCAACGACTGTCTGTATTTCTTCTTCTTCTTCTTCTTCTTCTTCTTCTTCTTCTTCTTCTTCTTCTTCTTCTTCTTCTTCTCCATGTTCTGCATGGAAAGTCAAGAAGGAAGAAATGCTAACCTCTGGTGAACTGTTACTGCAACGTCTCTGGCTACTTTAATAACAGCCACTTCTCAGTGTTCTAAAGTAGCTTCCTTTTGAAGCTATGAAAGTAATAAAGGACTGAGTCACAGAACTGTTCTAAACGTTTCTGCATGTCACAGTTTAGCCCATTTTGCTGCCGCAGAAATCACGCCCAACTTCCACTTGTCTCATGGGCTCTTTGTGCATATTAGCGGTGTGGATAGACTCTTCAATCAGCGGTGGTTCAATTTTGTGGCCCTGGGATTAGCTCTATGTTACCCTGAGAGCCACCTGAATCCATCCGCCTCTAAGTATAGGAGGGTGTGATTGTCATTAGGGTCATAGGGAAAAGTTAAACTTTGCCCTTCCTGCACACTGTAGTGCTATGCATCATCCTCTAGCCCTAGAGCAGTGATGGCCAAACTTGGCCCTCCAGCTGTTTTTGGACTACAACTCCCATCATCCCTAGCTAACAGGACCAAGGATGATGGGAATTGTAGACCAAAAACAGCTGGAGGGCCAAGTTTGGCCATCACTGGCCTAGAGTTATTTGTTTCAAGAAACTGCTTAGCATGCTTACTAACAACAGATTACCGTATTTTTTGCTCTATAAGACGCACCAGACCATAAGACCCACCTAGTTTTTGGAGAAGGAAAACAAGGAAAAAAATATTCTGAATCTCAGAAGCCAGAACAGCAAGAGGGATCGCTGCGCAGTGAAAGCAGCAGTCCCTCTTGCTGTTCTGGCTTCTGGGATAGCTGCGCAGCCTGCATTTGCTCCATACGACGCACACACATTTCCCCTTAGTTTTTAGGAGGGAAAAAGTGAGTCTTATAGAGCAAAAAATACAGTACATAAGTAACATTTAGTTTTACCCTGAAAGGGACAGATGAGATCAGTCCATATGTGTATCTATAAGGATTAGATTTTTCAAGCAACCTTACTTTCACATTTAATTTTTTTAAATTTGCTGTATTCAAATTAGGTGCCAGTTCAAAATTATTTGGAGACTAGGAAATCAGGTGAGATGAAATGGATTAGGGATTGTTCAACTCATAAAATGAGACAGAAGGGCTTTTACAAATATATGTGTCCAACTGAGATGTTTGCTGAACATCAAACCTTTTCACTACGTTTTTTCTGCAATCTAAAAAATTGCCCCCCTTCTCATTGGCTTCCTTGTATTCCTCTTTCATCTGCTCCTTCTCTATTAACCCTTTTCTATTTTGTTCCCTTTGACCTCTTGATGCTTTCCCATCATTAGTGTTGTTTTCTCCTTGCCAGCTCCACACAGCACAGAGCACAGTGGAATGAAGCAGCAAAGAAAAACTACCAGGGAACAAAAGCAGAGGGAAGAACTCCACAGGGACTGTTTTGTGTGATGCTAGCAAGAGTCAGCAGTAGAATTACAAACACTGAGATCTGGACAGTGAAGAGGAGCCCTAATTTGTGTAATGGTTAGCTAGAGAAACATACCTTGAAATGTAAAGAAAATAAGGTGCAAGCCAGATCTGCAAATAGAATGTAATCCAATTCTGTTTTTGTTTTGTTTTTTAAGGCTTTGACTTCAAAGGAATGAGTATTGTATTCACTTTGACTAAATGAGCTTGACAGGCTAATTGTTCAACTCCACCACCACTATCACCCCAATGTTCAAAAACTGTCTGTGAAATGTCAGTAATCTTTTTAGACAATTTCAGACTGTGTTTCCAGACATGAAGCTTGGCAAGGAGGCCAGGGCACCTCAGTCTTCCCAATGAAATCCCACACTCTTTAAAAAAGTAGCATATGCAGGTAGAAAGCCAGCAGGAATTTGGGGAGCTTTCTAGTGTTTTGCACTGTCTGTAAAATGTACAACTGTCTCCCTCTTGGACAGAAGTCATGGGTGTGCCTGAGGTACAATGAGCTCCTGGCTCTCTGGGAACAAGTTCACTTCCTTGAGACAAAGGTGCAGAACCTGGAAAAGCCAAGAGGTTGGTGGACGAGGCCTTCAGGGATGTTGTAGGTGTGTCCCACTCCCACAATGATAGCTCCCTTGCTGTCAGGTAGAATGAGGGTCTTGGGAACGGAGAGCTAAACTATGGAACTTGCTTCCACAGGAAGCAATGATAGCCTCCAACTTAAATAGCTTTGAAAGAGGATTGGACAAATTCATGAAGAAGGCCACTAGCCAAGATGGCACTACTCTGCCTCCACAGCTGGAGGCAGTAGTGTTTCCAAATACCAATTCCAGGAAACTACCGGAGAGGAGAGTGCTCTTGTGCACAGATCCTGCTTGCAGGTTTCACACAGGCATCTGATTTGCCACTGTGAGTACAGGATGCTGGACTAGATGGGCCATTGCCCTGACCTTAGCATGCTCTTATGTTCCTCCTGCACATAGGTCCCACTGCATATAGAAATGCTCGCTTTTGAGTAAGCTATGATTAGGCTGCCTGTATTTCCTCTGAGAAGAACCTCAACAGTAGGTTTTACATCCCACTTAAGAGGGAAATTTGGCTTATATCAAGGGTGGCTAACATGTGGTTCCCCAGACATTGCTGGAATCAAGCTCCCAACAGCCACAGCCAACAGGAGTGATGGTCAACATCTGGAGGGCTGCAAATCCTGTATCAATGAGTTTATATGGCAGAGTGGTATTCACAAAGAACTGATGCAGGAATAGCCAGCATAGTGCCTTCCAGGTGTTAGTAGACTACCACTGCCAACTTCCCTGACTGCTGGCTGGAGTGATGGGGATTGGGGAGTCTCGCAATATTTGGAGGGCACCACATTGACACTCCCTGTGCTAATAGCTAAGCTTGGTTAGTTGAAACAATAATGTATGCAGTTTTGTGGAAGCAGATCACATAATGGGGCAGTCTTTTAATGAGTGTTGTCTTCTCTAAGGGCAACAGTGTACAGTGGTACCTCGGGTTACAGACGCTTCAGGTTACATATGCTTCAGATTACAGGCTCCACTAACCCAGAAATAGTACCTCGGGTTTAGAACTTTGCTTCAGGATGGGAATAGAAATCGTGCTCCAGCGGCGTGGCAGCAGCAGGAGGCCCCATTAGCTAAAGTGGTGCTTCAGGTTAAGAATGGACCTCCGGTACAAATTAAGTGCTTAACCCGAGGTACCACTGTAGTCATTTATTTATTCTGCTATTATTTGTATTTTTTATTATATTTATATCCTGTCTTTTTCTCTGATAGGGAGGGGACTCAGTGTAAAGTAGAAACACCTAAACCTTGGGGGCAGAGGAACCCATCACTAGTAAGGGGTGTCAGTACAAAATGGTTGCCAATGACAGCAAAAATAAAACAACCCCCTCACACACAAACACACACACACACACTTGTATATTATTTGCTGTGAAGGTATGAGATAATATAAGATTCCTTCCCAACCAATGTAATGCCTGAGAACCAAAAGCATCCCATTCCTGTTTGATCTCAACATTGTGAAGCTTTGTCGCTATGTTCTTCTGGGAACACACACAGGTGCTGTGTTTGGAAAGAACTAAATGTGCACTGATCATCATTGTGAAATGTCAGCGCATAGCCTCTAATAGATTCAGTCTTCAAAACAAATAAGTAATAATTAATAGGCCCAAAGCCATAGAACTAAAAACTAGCTTATTTTATTCTTTGAAGAGGAGCCAGAGAGTTGACCTCACAATTGTACCTGAAGAGGGAACATACTACGTCTCAATTCACATTGCGGCTTTTTGACAAAGGAAAAGAGTAAATCTTCTTCAAATGAATTTAAGCCTAAGCATTTCCTTTTATGTGGGCCTGTAGAGCGACTGCATTTTGTCAGTAGTGTATAGATCTTAGTGAGATATATGGCAGACTGCAAATCAAAAAATAAAGGGGGGGCATATAAAAGAGATCACCCCCAGGAGTTGCTGCTGAACATGATCAACTGTGTCGGTGTTGAATTCTAAGGGAGATATACTCTGCAGAGTACAGGATGAATTATGAAGCGTACAAAGGTAGCTTGAAGACGTCTCAAAAACAAATTAAAAATTAATGATGAACAAAATCAAATTTTCTTTTGTGACTGATATTCCTTCACCTGCAGATAACTATAAAAAGCCATCAAAGGAAGAAATGCATTAGTTTCTAATTTAATGTGAGTTACTGGAAGAAAATAATCACTAAAACTCTAATGATAGCTTTTTGACAACTTCCTAATCCTTACAAGTTGTTGGTAAGAGCTGCATCTAGCCAAGCTGATTATCAATCCCAGCATTTTCCCTTGAGTAATTCAAAGAATGTACAGTTTGTGATCATGTAGATGAAATTGTAACTTTTAAAAGCACATCTACAGAACAAGCCTTGCAGCACAGAAAACAGAATAATAGCTTCTGGCTTACTTCTGTCACTGACATCATATGCAGTCATTTGCCCTCCAGACCATAAATACAAAATCTATCAGGGGTAAATGGGAACAGATTTCAAGGAGAAAAATAGCATACCTCAGTTTCACTGAACATCTTTTCTATTGATTGTCTTCAAACAGTGATAAGCTAAATAAATGTGGTAAATATTTCTATTCTTTTTAAAAAATATATAATTATAGATTATAACAAGAAAACATTTCACAAATCATTCAATAATAATTCTAACATTTTAAACCTTGACTTTCCTCCCCTCTTTCTGCGGTTCCTTAAAGTTGTTTTCATCTTTCCCTGCATATCCTAAATCGTCCCGTCTTATTCTTTTTATTCCTCCGTTATTATATATGTCATATATGTGTTGTTCACTTCAAGACAGGATTACTGCAATGCACTCTATGTGGGGCTTCCGTCCTGCTTGGTCTGGAAGCTGCAGTTGGTGCAGAATGCTGCAGTGCGATTGCTGACAGGAGTGAGGCTTTGGTAGCAAAAACCCCTGTTCTCGGACATGTGTGCTGGTTGCTGATTTGTTACTGGGTCAAGGTGTTACTATTAGTACATAAAGCCCTTAACAGCTTGGGACCAGTTTAACTACAAGTTTGCCTTACTCCACATGTGCCCCCTCAACTGCTTAGACTGGCAGAATTGGCAATACTACAGGTGCCACATCATATGTGTTGTGCATGTGTAAAAACTCAAATCATTTATTTTGCCAGCCTGGAACTTCTAGGCTATTGAGATCAAGCTGGCACCTTCGTTGTATTCTGTTTGGTGCCTGCTAAAAACATTCTTGCTTAGACAAGAAGCCTACTCAGATATTTAGAAATTTGAGGCAGTTTTAGTATTTTAACTTTCGTTATGTTTTAACATATGTTTTTGAATTGTTCTTGATTTTACTGTTTTATTGTTTGTAAAAAAAATGCTTCGATGTTTTTTACAATCAAGTGGTGTACAGTGGTACCTCGGGTTAAATACTTAATTCGTTCCAGAGGTCTGTTCTTAACCGGAAACTGTTCTTAACCTGAAGCACCACTTTAGCTAGTGGGGCCTCCTGCTGCTGCCACGCCACCAGAGCATGATTTCTGTTCTCATCCTGAAGCAAAGTTCTTAACCTGAAAAAGTATTTCTGGGTCAGTGGAGTCTGTAACCTG